TGTGTGTGTGCGTGTGCATGTGTGTGTGTGGTGGTGGTGGTGGTAATCATGATAGGGTGTTGGTTGAAAATACCAAAGGAGTGTTCTTCGAAGTTCAGAGTTTCCTGAGTGAGGACTCAGTCAGAAAAAGTGGCTAAAAGTTCCAGTAAGATGGAATGAGCGCAGTACTCAAAAAACAGGGTACAACCAGCCAACGGGAATTGGGCCATAGAGGAAGAGGTAATTGATATAATTCCATGTAATAATGGGTCCTGAAATGCTGGAATGTCTTCTTAGCCCATGGACAGCTACAAATCATCTGTATGCAGCCATCCCTTGGCAAGTATGTTTCTTTATATTCCCACTCCTCATCTCTGCACAAACTCCTCACTCCCCTGACCAAGGCCTTTCCTATCCCTCCAATCGAAAAGTAAACTAAGCTTAGATGTTACTCACAGTGTGGTATGAATTTTTTGGATGTATTTGTGCTTTTGAAAGTGCTTATAGTTTCAAAGCTTAGTAGACAGAGACAGCGACAAACCTACTTAGGCTGCTAATGAAATTATAGTCACTCTGCAGACCTGTGAAGAGGAGCAATTTCTGGGGCAGTTGAGCTTTGCTAGGAGGCATAATATCACTCTCTTGTAGGTCAAGAGCCTGTACCCATTGGAAGTCAATGAAAAATTCAGCCCATTAGAGCATATCCCTAATGGGTTGGTGCACTGGAAGCTAGGCTTAACTTTCCCTTAAAATAAGTAAATAATAAGTTCCTTATGAAAAAGCATGAAGAACATTTAATGAAAATGAATTATCCCTTGCCACCAGAGAGGTGGAGCCATTGGAGAAAGTGATTCAAAGAGTTTCCCCGATATGAGATATGAGGCATATTCACCCCCATCAACTTTATCCATTGGCTTGCCAATTATTCAAGCTTTGATATGTAGAAAGCCCTTGAATACACTAAGCTCTTGTACTCCTAAGCCCAAAGGCACCCCACACCCGACACCCTGTCCATTTGCCTAGGTTGCATAGGCAAGGGTTAATATTACAACTGATGAAAATTGCACAGGCCAGCTAAGTTGATTTCTTCCCCCTGGGATCACCACAAAGAAAAACGCCCCCATACTGGAGTGAGAAGACTCATCCCATAGATTGCCCTCCAACCAAAATAAACACAGCCTGGGAGATCAAAGACCAGAGAGCCCCACTGGCTCCAGGGAAAGTAAAGTCAATACCCTAGCAGGGGGGAAGAATTGCTTCACTCACCCTGGAACCTCCAACCCCAGGGAGGTGGTGGAAGGGTGGCACCCCACATGACCAATGCTGAAATAGGGAAGGAAGAGGAATGTATGATGGGACTAGGAGTTTGAGTGAGAGATATAAGGAAGGAAGGGCAGTAAGCAGGCACAGACGCTGGTGGCCACCAGAAGTTTGAGCCTCTTTGGCAGCAGGAGGCTGGAAGAAAGGACAAAAGTGGCTCTGGCTGTGATGGGGATCTTACTGGGCCTGCTACTCCTTGGGCACCTAACAGTGAACACTTATGGTAAGGCAGAACGTGGGGTCCTGGCTGCCACTGCTGGCTTAGGCAAAGGCTGGGGCGGGGGGTGGTGTTTAATACCTACCAAGGAAAGCCTGTTCCTGTTGGGCAGGTGAGTGTTCTCAGCCAAACTCTGCAGGTTCTCTCAGCCTTCAGCAAAAGGGATGGAGGTAGTTGAAGGCTGCTGAAGAAGCCAGGAGGCAAGGTTGGGCAGAATTTGAAAAAGGATTTTCTCTTGGAAAACACTGGCGTGATTTTCTAGGGCTCGTGTCTCAGGGGCATCAAGAAGGCTCCCAATGACACTTGAATTTTTGCCCCATCTGCTGTCTCATCTAAAATTCTAACATTAGATTTAACCCATCTGCTTTCAAGCTTTGTTGTCTGTTGAAATATACAGACCCCAAAGAAGGATTGTTTTTTAAGAGTTGAATGGGAATACAGAAGTAACCTATACCACCCTTCATTGTCAGGAACAAATGCTCAGAAACATTCAGTAGTTACTAAGATATCACTGTTCACTACCTTCCCAGACCATCTAGTCTGTCAGCAGCTCCAACTGTTAGAAAGTTCTTACTTGTATTGAACTAAATCCAGTTCCCTCTGACTTCCATCCAAAAGCCCCAGCTCTGCTTCTTGGAGCTACGCAGAACATAGCTGCTTGCTTGCCCTGTGACAGCCCTGCAAAGACCTGAGGACAAATACTGTGTCCCCTTGATTCTTCTCTCCTTCAAGCTGAAAAGCCCCAGCTTTTTCAACTGGTCTTCATAGGACTTGGTTTCTTACCCGCTCCTGGACTAATTCACTTCCCTGTAGGCATGGCTAAATTTGTCTAGGCTGTTTATGGGCTTGACACAAATCCCAAATGAGGATGGACTATTCCATAGTAGCATTATTGCCTTGAAGCTTGGGAAGCTCTATCCTCATTTACACTCCTGAGAAGTGAGATGGATTTTCAGGAAGCTAAACCTGTGTAACAGCTAAGTAAGATCCAATATAGGGTAAAGGAGGTTTTTGCTGCTTCCCTACTCTCCCTAGAGAAAAAGGATGGATGGGTGTCAGTTTGGTGTCACTTGTGAAGTCAGTAAGAATCCAGCTTTCCATGGCTGACTCTAATTCGGTTACCCTATCCTGAGACTCTGTGACCCATCAGACTGTAAAATGTCAGAGCTGGAAAACACTCTGGATTAAGTTATCCAAGAGAAAAAATAATTTGCCCCCAAGCCAAAGAGCATTAGTGGCAGAGTTAATGCTCCTGAAAAATATTTTTCTTTCTGTAACTACCATACTTCCATTCTCTAGTGGGTTTTATAATGTATCTCTCTACCTTCTCCAAGTCTGTTGGTTTCAGCTAGGGCTCAAGCCTGGGGCTTGAGGGAGGATTTTAGAAATGTTAAATTTAAATCCTATGTATGTGTGTATGCGTGTGTGTGTGTGTGTGTGTGTGTGTGAGAGAGAGAGAGAGAGAGAGAGAGAGAGAACACTCATGTGTCTTGTTCTTTCCCCAGCCTGTGAGATTTCCAGACCTGGAAGCAGGCCTTCCATTTGTACATAGGATCTTACACTACAGACCTGAGGCTCAGGATATCCTGAGCTGCAAATAATATCTTCCCTCTTCCTGGACCTCATTGTTCCTAGCCCATTTGTACAGTGAGGAGGTTGACTTGGCTGGACTCAAAGGGATTTCGCAGCTGGACCGCTCTGTTGGACTGAGGCTTCACTGCTAAAAAGCCCGTAAGGGCCAGAATCAGCTGCTAACCTCTTCCTGTGGGGCTAAGAAATATGTCAAGATAATCAAAATTTTTAAAATTCTAATATTCACATTTTATAAACATTTTAAACATTTCAGAAACATTTTATAAACATCTATTATATAAGCTAATCCCCTATCCAGGAAGCATCCAAGGAATGGGGGAAGGGAGAGAAGCCAGTCATGTTGGGGATAGACACATGGAAAATGTCACCCTCTTTGTGATGATGGGAGGAGGTTATTTAGAAAGAGACCTAGAATGGATCTTATAAAGGAGCACACACATAGTAAATTCAGCCCTTCTTTTTTTTAGTACCATTACACAGGCCTCAGACATCTGATTTTATAAGTAGGCTCAGTACTGTCCTCTCTTTGTCAAGCCAGATTCTCCTTCCACAAAGCTCCTTGAGTCAATATCCAGCCCTGGTCTTTCTCCTGAAAGGAGAAACACAATCATTTCCTGAGGGAGGAGAGCAAGGCTTGGGAACGATGAGAAAGGTTTTTCCAGAAAGCAGCTGGCAGATGGGAGCATCTTTTTTCAGACAATCATAGGATAATATATAACCCTAGGATAACATCCAGAAGCCATGTCAGGTAGGCCCAGGTAAGGAGTTGTTGGTTTCAATTGTGACTGATGGTTTAATAAATTAAGAAAATAAGAAAGCAGCATAGCATCTGAAAACCTGTATTCTAGGCCTCCAAGCCCAGCTTTGACCTTGCTATCTATGTGACTTTGAGCAAGCATCTGCCTATCTCTGGGCCTCAGCTTACCCATATGTACCATGAGGGAATGTAACTAAGTGATTTATAAAAGATCTTCCATCTATGTCATTCCAGAAGGCTACAAATTTCATCCTCTTTGGTACCTCAGCCCCTGCTATACCAAGTGCCTTGCCAGATGGTGGTTTTGAGGTATCCATAATGGGCACAGTGCTCTGCCAAGAGATGGGGCTTTCCTGAAATGAATTTTTCCTACCCAATCTTCCAGGAAAATCATGAGTATTGTTTAATTTGGCCAACATTTCACATTGGCTGCCAAGACAGTCCTGTCATTGGAGGCACAGTGTCCTATGTCATCTGCAGCTGCCCTGCAATTCACAGACAACCTAGTACCTGCCCATAACTCAGTAGATTATATCAGACAGGGGAGAGTGTTTCCTTACCTTACCATGTGATGAGTTCTGATTCAGGTCAATATTAAAGCTGACAATGTTCCAACCTAATGAATCTGTTTATCCAGGGGACGACATATTGAAGACTGCTGTAGCATAGGAATAATTTAAGACAAATACAAGAAGTTGCACTTAGGGCATGAGACATTTATCCAGCACCCACTGCATGCCAGCTATATGCTAGGTGCTTTCACACATGTGAACTTATTTAATTTTCACAATTATCTGCCATGGAATCTTTATTATTACTTCCACTTTACTGATAATGACCTGAAATTCAGATAGGTTTAGTAATTTACCCAAGGTCACACAGAGAGATATGTGGTAAGGCAGACCTTGGGCTTAGATCAGTGTTATTCCTACTACACCATGCAGTCCTTCACTACACCCCTGCTCTCATTAGGAGCTCCTACTAGATTCTAAGGGCACCACAAGGAAAGGTAGAAAGTATAAGTCAGTGCTATTGTGGTTAAACTCACTTTGGAGATTGGAGAACACAAGGAATAGTACAATGTCCTTTTCCTTGTGATGTCCTGTACCTGTAATCCAGTCTCTCTTTATGCAACTAATGAAGCAGGAGGATAGAAGAACAAGAAAAAGGAGAAGGAACAAAATAAAGGAAGAGAAGCATAATGAAAGAATGGGTGGAAGGAATAAAGGAGGAAGAAGAGAAGGAGGAAGAAAAAAGTGAAAGGAGGAAAAACGCCATTTTGGGAACTCTAGTTACCAATTCTGTCCTGTTCTGACAGAGGAGTCAAGCCTGACCTACTTCCAGAAGTGATGTTGAAAATTGAGAAGTTGAGACTAGCTAGCAATGTTCTTGACAGACCAGACTGAGCTTTGTGACAATTTCCAGCAAATTCCCAGAGAGGGGAATACAAGCCAGGCCTTGCAGTTCTCCAAAGGTCAGAAGGAAGACACGCATACACAAAGACAAAGGCATTTTCAACTGTTCCAGATATCCTCAAAGCAGAATGCTGCTTTATTGCCCGAGAGGGGAATATGAGAATGCTTTTCAGAGAAGAGGAGGGACATTGGGAAGGTCCAGGGAAAGATTAATGGGAAATAACCTATTAAACCAAGAGACTCAGATAGTTTTCATGGTGTTTAAAAATGGTATGTTTGTGCTTGCATGTGGCCAAAAATATGTATGAGCATGTGTGTCCATGATAATGAAAAGCTGTATCTACAATCACATGGAGGCAGGAATTATCTATAGCACAGTGAAAGCCACTACCTGGTGAAAATTCAACACCAGCTGGAATATATAATTATTTAACTTCTATTTCCATTATAGTCTATTAGCACTGGACCACCCAAGATTAGGAGGGACCTTAAAGAGCAATGCTAAAACCCAAACAAAGCCTAGAACTTCCCCAGTCAGCTTAACCCATCCATAGACAGCTCTGATTAATCATAAAGTGCATTTTAAGGCAAACCAACCCTTCTGTGATATGGAAAGCAAAAAAGAGTAACATAAAAATTAATAGAATTAGGAAAATAGGGCAAACCAAAATCTGCCCCTCTTGTATTCCCATTCGTACATCTGAATTCTGCTCTCTGCCAAACTTGAAACTCTCCAGGGAGTATGTAGTGGATCTAGCAACATGAACTTAAGTTTATTTATTCCTTTCTACTCAAGGGCTTTTTCTTGGCTAAAATATGCTATTGATGTTCTAAGAGTCCCTGGTGAGGGCAGAGGCTAGAGGCTTGACTTTAGTGTCTCTATTAACAGAAGTTCTGATGCTGGACAGCACCTTCTAGGAGTTAGAAAGCATACACTCAACCCATCCAAAACATGTCATCTTCCGTCTGCTTGATTGAATACTGGGAATTCTAGACTCAATAAAAGACTTTTATTCAGTAATACTTCAGATCTTTGAAACCACCTCTCTTAGGAGAGACACGAATATATTGCCTAAATATACCCACCCACACTCCTGGTCCCAGTTAAATAACACAAAAATCTTTCAGAATAAGAGCTTATGAATAGAAAATTCTGATGGGAGGCAATGACCGTTTCAACGTCCCCACCTCCTTGCCCCACCCCCACCTCTAAGGGTTTCCCTCTCAAGCATGGCAAGAAGCAATCTCCCATTGCTTCTATCATCATCTCCACTACAGTCAGCTTCAGGATTTCACTCAGACCCTTTTCCTCTCCAGACCAAGAATCGATGAAATCATTTCCCCCTCAAAATGAAATTTTCCTGTGTATCCTTGCTAAGAACTAAGACAAACCAAAAGGAAAATAAACAAATAAAAGAGAAATTAGAAATTCAGGCTTACAAACCGCATGTCTCAAACTTAACAATAACTAATGATTTTGTTAAACAGGAATGTATATCCAGACTTCTTCCTCACACCGGGTTCCACCTCAGTATTGCCTTTTGCCTGTCTTCCAGAGAATATCTTAGGGTTGGGACCCTAGTCACTGAGGATTTGTAAGGGAACAAGAGAAGATAACAGGGGAAAGAGCCCTTTGTTGCTGAACCCCAAAGCCTCCATGTTTCTCCAGGTGCATATTTACACAAAATAAAATAGTCCAGACCCAATTGCTTAGCATTTTTGCTTCCATATCTCTTTTGGAAAATGTCAAAAGAAATTTTTTTCATGGATTTGCAGAATGACAGAGTTGATAGAATGTCTAGAGTGCATACCATTCAAACTCTCCATATTATATATGAAGTAAATTGATCTTCCATGGTAGGAAGATGACTTACCTGGGATCACCTCCATAGCAAGACAGTAACATAAAAAGGACTCGAAACTCACAAGATCTGAACAATGTTAAGGGCTTTTATCCTGAAGACTGGTTCTGAATGATGAGAAGGCTGTCAAAGAGTAAAAAGGCACAGGTACACAAAAGTGTGATAGAAAAAACGTTGAGTGGTGTTTCTCAAAAACATTTGAGGTCTTCCACTGCCACTCTAGTTGCCAGGTAGGTATGCCATGTATATTTGCTTCTTTTCTCTTTCCTCCCTCTTCAGGCCGTCCCATCCTGGAAGTGCCAGAGAACATAACAGGACCTTGGAAAGGGGATGTGACTATTCCTTGCACCTATGGCCCTCTCCACGGCTACACTCAAGTCTTGGTGAAGTGGCTGGTACATCGTGGCTCACACCCTGTCACCATCTTCCTACGTGACTCTTCTGGAGACCATATCCAGCAGGCAAAGTACCAGGGCCGCCTACATGTGAGCCACAAGGTTCCAGGAGATGTATCCCTCCAACTGAGTACCCTGGAGATGGATGACCGGAGTCACTACACGTGTGAAGTCACCTGGCAGACCCCTGATGGCAACCAAGTGGTGAGAGATAAGATTACTGAGCTCCGTGTCCAGAAACGTGAGTCACTGTGGGGTAGGAAAGCACTGATAATCAATGAATCAATAGAAGATGTTATTCTAGAAACTCTTGAAAAACCCAGAGGCCTTTGTTTATCTATACATAGGCTCTCTTCAGGTGTATGTGCTTATCAGACGAAGTGGATAGGCAGAGGATTCTTAGGGTCAGTGTTTCAAATTTAAGAAGTGCTGGGAAGGTTTCCTGACCAGTAAATAAATCTCTATCCCTTCAGTTGTCCCAGAAATGCCGGCATTCATAGCCTAGTTACTCTCCTTGGGCTCTGGGCTTTATAACTCAAAAATGAGTATAATTAATTTGTAGATAGATGCTGATAGAGAAACTCTGGGGAAAGGGAGGAAGAGGTTAGCCAGGGTAAGTTTGCTGGCTGGACAATTTTACAAAGGTCCAGCCCTGATAATCCAAAACTGCAGATAATCAAAGTCTCTACTTGAGCCCTAAAAAAAGCTACATTATTTTTAAAGGCCAGTTGATTTTTACCTCCAAATATCCCAAAACCCCAGGTAATACCAAAACGTACCTACCTTCAAAGGAAGTCATTTTATGTGTATTGCACTTTCCCTCCTATTTCCTCTAAAGTGGAGCCCCCTTTAGTTCCAGTTACAGATATATGCATGCCCTTATGCCCTACAAGAATGATTTGGCCTTGTGGTCCCATATCCTTATGACTGCCCAGTTTTCTGTCTTGTCTTTTCTTTGCAGTCTCTGTCTCCAAGCCCACAGTGACAACCGGCAGCGGTTACGGCTTCATGGTGCCCCAGGGAATGAGGATTAGCCTTCAATGCCAGGCTCGGGGTTCTCCTCCCATCAGTTATATTTGGTATAAGGAACAGACTAATAACCAGGAGCCTATCAAAGTAGGAAACTTAAGTACCTTACTCTTCAAGCCTGCATTGGTAGCCGACTCTGGCTCCTATTTCTGTACTGCCAAGGGCAAGGTTGGCTCTGAGCAGCACAGCGACATTGTGAAGTTTGTGGTCAAAGGTGAGCAGCCCTCTCTCCTGGTGAGCATCTTAACAGACCAGCTTGAACCAAAGATACCTCAAAATGTGCCCTTATGCAAAAGAAGAGTTAGGGGGGTAGGGTCTCAAGTAGGCAATGGTTGTACAATCACAAAGAAAAAAATTTGGGACTGGGGACAGCAGACATAGAAACATTGCCTGTCATGCCATAGGTTAAGTAGATGAAGATTATAAAGGAAAGAGTGAGATTTACTAGTACATTGTAATTGCCAGGCACAAAGTACAAGAACTTGACACACATTTTTAAATGAAATCCCCATGACTGTCCCATGAGATAGTTATCATTACTTTTATTTTATAGAAGAGGGCACAGAATCAGAAAGGGGAATCTACTTGCCCATGGTCTCACAGCAAAGAAGTATAAACCCGGATTTGCAGTCAGATTTCATGCTCTTTTTACTATGTCTGATTGTTTCTCATGGTTGAATCTATACCAGATCCTGGACATCCTTTGAAAGCTGTTGTTTTTTGTTTGTTTATGTGTTCTGTTTGTTTGTTATTGTTCTGCTTGTTTGATTAGGCTTGATCTAATATATTTACATGCTTCCTTTTAACTTCCCTTCCCCACTTCATTGTAAAGACAGATAGCAGTTTTGGTTGAAGTATCCTTGAAGATGGGCTCTGGTTAATCAAGACTTGACTATTTCTTACAGCACTGTCCTGAGAGCACTACAAACTATGATCGTAGGCTGAGTTTTAAATGAAGAGTCCAACAATGATATGTCCAGATGAATTTTCTTACCTTTTGAGAGGTCTCCTTGGAAAGAAAGACACACCAACAAGGCTACCATTGCCCAAAACATGTTGGAAACTAACTGATTTTAGAGAATTGCCCTCAGAACCATCTGAAAATTATTGTCCTCTGAGGATAGATCTGCATAAGGAGAGTGCATAAACCTAGCCCAAATGGCTTATCACCATTTGGCCTAGGAGACTGACATTTGTTTGAAACACCTGTGTTTGCCTGGAGGGATTTGTTTCCCAAAGTTAAACTGTAGTGAAGATGTGTGTGCTGTAGATCCTGGCTTGTTATTTTTGGGAGAAACAAGGGTGGTCCACCCTGAAACCTTATATAAACAGTGTCATAGTTCTCTAATAGCCAATAGCCTGGTCAAGCAGAGAGGGCAAGGAATGACCAGAAAGCCCAAGAATGTATTCTTTATAGAGACTAACTGAACATTCTTGCCTTTCTGTGAGTTGCTTCTTCTCAGACCATCTGGGCAAGAACTTGCTCACAGTAAAACAGCCTGTCTATTCCTTCTCACAGTCAATGTGCTATTAAGCAGTGCTCGTTATTGCCCCCTACTGATAGATAAGAAAACTGAGGCTCAGGGAAGTTATTCTCAGCCTTCCACTCCTCCCAGCTCTGTGAGCCAAGGGAAGCGTTCCTTGCTACCTCTACCTGCCTCCCTGTTTACCCTAACCTGGTCCCATGAGTCGGATCTCTTTTCACCTCTGCCCTGCAGAACTCTCAGCCCTTTGCCCTTCCACCTCACTCTGCACTGTTCTTTATTTCTAGAATGGTTCTGGAGGCCCTGCCTTTGCCCATGTTCTTAGACTGCTGAGCTTTGCTGACAAACAAAACAAAACACAGATATGAACTGACTTCACTTTAATTTTATGCTCTGTGACATCCACTGCCTGACCCCATACTGTGTGTCAATCTATTTTCTCATCTTTGTCTCATTCCTTGTAGCAGTTTTTCAGAACATTTACACCTTATTTCAGGCTCCCAGCCCTGCTCCTAAAAGATAAAGTAACTTCCTTCTTCTGTAAGAAGATCCAGGCCCTCTTCAGATGTGAATTTTATCAAATACCCTCCTCTCTGCCTTGATATTTCCCTATCCATTTCCTCTTGGCTCAGAGTAAGGTATGCTTTGCTCCTTTCCACAGCAAGCCCCTTCTCTTGAACTCTTAACATCAACTACTCCAATGCCCTGCAATGCCCTTTATCCTCTACCTAATCCAAATATATGCATGTATAATATATGTATATATGTCAGTATGCAAGCCTAATACATACATATATATGTATATATATACATATATATAATTTTTAAAAAATCTTTATCCCATCTGCCATCCCATCTCTCCTACGGTCACTACCAACCTTCTCAAGAAGGTAGCTTCTAGCAGATGAACATCTAAATTCATTCACCACAAAATAACTTTGTAATCTGGGGTCATCATTAACCTCCATATCACCAAATCTCAAGACCTCTCCATTCATACTTTTCCTCCTCAACATCTCTGTGGTAGTGGATCCTGTTGGCCATTTCTTCTTCCTCAAAATTATTCCAATTACTGCTATCAATGACATCAATTTATCTTGGTTCTCCTAAGACCTTTCTGAAAGATCCTTCTTAGACAACTTTGCTGGCCCTTTCTTCATTCACTCCTTAATTGTAAATGTTCTCAAAGACTCAATTCTTATTCACCTCTGCATGTATTTCTATATTATCAGGAAATTTTATTTACTTCTATAACTTCAAATATCACCTGCAGGCTGGTGACTCTCAAACCATAATATTATCTGTAATTTTTCTTCTGACTGCTAAATCCCAGTGTCTAGTTACCTTCATGAAAGCTTCATTTCTAATCGCAGCCTGTTCAAAACCGAATGTATCTTTTACTCGCCAAACCTGTTCCTCAAACCTGTTAGAAAACACAGCAGTATCATTGACTCCTCCTTCTCCTTTACTTCACACGGTCAAGTAATCATCAAGATCACCAAGTACTGGGAATTCACCTACTGAATCAGATCCCTTATTAGGCTCTTCCTTTCTCTTCCTGTACCCTCATGGTCTCATATTCTTTTTTAAAAAACAATTTCAATCATCTTCTAAATGCTCTCTCCATGTTAATACATTCTTATGAAATCATCAACTTATTCAATATTTATTGAGTACATACTTTATGTCACTAGATTATAAAATTCAAGAGTGCAGAATTCTACCTGTCTACTTCATGGCTGATCTCCAGAGTCCACCAAAGTATTTGGCACAAGAAGACACTAGACAGCAGATGAATGCTGTATTTATTAATGAATGGGCAAAATATGCTACTCCGTCACCTTCAAAAATCCTACCACACTGTTGTCAGAATTATTTCCCCAAAAAACAGACTGAACAATTTTCACCTCTGTTCACGGAAGTAAACCTTTCTCAAAAGGTGTGTAACCTTCTGTTACACCCCATGGATCCTTCCAACCAAAGAACAAAGCCCAAACTCTTTTACTCTGTTTTCAGCCTACCTATGCAGCTTTATCTTATGTCTCTCCACATCTAAAACATAGCATGCTGTTTCCTCTATCTGCAGTATTACTCCTCCTTCTCAGCCTAAAGAAATTCTATTGACCTGTTACTGATATCTTCTTTTTGCATTGAGATGTACCTTACATTCTTTAAAAAAAATCAACATTTAAAGTATACAATTAGGTGGTTCATATGTTTGTGTGACTGTCACCATTACCTAATTCCAGAAAATTTCAATCACCCTAAAAGAAAACTCTGGACTCATTAAGCAGTCACTTTTATTCCCCTATCCCTTAACTCCTAAAAAACACTAATCTACTTTCTGTCTCTAAGGATTCACCTATTACGAATATTTTATATAAATTGAAGCATACAATACATAACCTTTGTTTCCTGTTTTCTTCTACTTAGCATAAAGTCTTCAAGGTTCATTCATGCTGTAGCATGTATCAGTACTTCACCCTTCTCATTGCTAAATAATATTCCATTGCATGGATATATCACATGTTATTTATCCATTCTTCAGTTGATGGGCATTTGGGTTTTATCTACATTTTTGGCAATTATAAATAATGCTGCTATGATTGATCATGTAAAAGTTTTTGTGTAGACATATGCTTTTAATTCCTTTAAGATATATGACTGAGTGGAATGCCTAGGCCATAAAGTAATCCCATGTTTAACTTTTTGAGGAAGTTTCAAACTCTTGCCCAATGTGGCTGCCCAATTTTCCTTTTCCATGAGCAATATATGAGGGTTGCAATTTCTCCACATCCTCACCAGCACTTGTTATTTTCTGCTTTATTTTTTAGATTATAGTCATCCTAGTGGGTTTGAAGTGCTGTCTCATTGTGGTTGTGATTTGCATGTCACTGATGACCAATAATGTTGATCAGCTTTTTATGTTATTATTGGAGAACTACCTTTTCAAATACTTTACTCATTTTAAAACTGGGTTGTTTGCTTTTTAGCTGTTGAGTTATAAAAGTTCTTCATATATTTGGAATACTACACCCTTATCAGATATTTTATTTGCAAATATTTTCTGATTTTATATATTGTATTTTCCCTTTCTTGATAATGTTCTTTGAGGAGGTAGGGTGTTTAATTTTGATAAAGTTCAACTTATCTATTTTTTTCTTTTGATACTTGTGTTTTTGGTGTCATGTGTCATAATCTGTTGCCAAACTCAAGTTCATGAAGATTTATTCCTTTGTTTTATTTTATGAGTTTTATAGTTGTAGCTCTTACATTTGTGTCTTTGATTCATATTCAGTGAATTTAGTGTGAAGTAAGAGCCCAATTTCACTCTTGTCCATGTGGCTATCCTGTCGTCCCAGCACCATTACCTGAAGAGACTGTACTTTCCCATCATACAGCCTTAGCAGCCTTGTTGAAAATCAATGATTAATGATATGTAAGCTTAATTCTAGGCTCTCAATTGATTAAATTTGTTTCTAGGTATTAGTTTTCATGCTATTGTAATGGAATTTTTTCTTAATATCATTTTTTGATTGTTCATTGTTAATGTAGAGAAATACAACTGATTTTTGTGCATTGTTCTTGTGTCCTGCAACTTTGCTGAACGAATTGATTGGCTCTAGTCATTATTTTGTGGATTTTTAAGAATTTTCTATGTATGACTATGTCATCTGAAAATGGATATAGTTTTATTTCTTCCTTCCCAGTCTGTATGACTTTTATTTATTTTTCTTGAATCATTTATCTGGCTAGTACTTCCAGTATAATGGTGAATAAACACGAAAAGAATAAACATCCTTGTCTTGTTCTTGATCATACAGGAAAAACATTCAATGTTTCACAATTAAGTTTGATGTTAGCTATGGATTTTTTGTAGATGTCCTTCATCAGGTTGAGAAAGTTTCCTCTATTCCTAGTTTGTTGAATATTCTTATCATGTGAGGGTATTTTATCATGTAAGGATTGTGTCAAATACCTTTTCTGTGTCTATTGTGATGATGGTGTGCCTCTCCCCTTTTATTCTTTTTTTGATGTCTCTGCTTTCATATTAGAGTAATATTGATCTCATATACTGAGTTGAGAAGTATTATCTCACTAATTTTTTGAAATAATTAGTAAAGATTTAGCATTAATATTTCTTTAAATGTTTGATAAAATTCACAAGTGAAGCTACATGTATCTGGCCTTTTCTTTGTTGGTAGTTGTTCAGTGAGCAATTCAATTTTTTTCCTTGTTCAAAGTCTGTCTTTTCAAGTTTTTTATTTCTTCTTCAAAAATTAATTTTTGTTATTTATTACTAATTTCATTTCATTGTGGCTGGAAAACATACTTTGTATTATTTTGGTTTATACAAATTCACTGAGATTTGTTTTAGAACCTAACAAATCGTCTATTCTAGATAATGTTCTATGTGCACTTGAAAATAATGTGTATTCTGCTGTCTCTTGTGTGTATTCTGTATATATGTATTAGGTCTGGTTGGTTAACAGTGTTGTTCAAGTCTTTAACTCCCTTGCTGATCTTCTTTCTAGTTGTCCTGTCTGTAATTAAAAGTAGAGTGTTAAAATCTCAAGCTATTATTGTTCAGTTGTCTATTTCTCCCTCCAATTATATCAGCTTTTGCTTTATGTATTTTGGGGTTGTGCTGTTAGAAGCATTTCTGTTTGTAATTAAAGTGCCTTTATGATGGATAGTTTTATCATTATAAAATGTCCTTTCTTGCCTTTTCTAACAATTTTTGTCTTAAAGTCTATTTTGTCAAACATTACTATAGGCAGTTCTATTTTGGTAACTGTTTGTGTGGTATATCTTTTTCTGTCCTTTTGCTTTCAAATCACTCATATCTTTGAACCCTAAGTGTGTAAAACATATAGTTAGATTGTTTTTTAAACCACTATGCCAATCTTTGCCCTCAAATGTGAGTTTAATCCATTTACATTTAATGTAACTACTAAGATATTATTCATGCCTGGTATTTGCTATTTGCTTTCTATGTATCTTATGTATCTCTTATTTTTCCATTCCTGTACTACTGCTGTCTTTAGTGTTAAGCAGATAATTTCTAGTGTAGTAGGTAACTCCTTTGTTGTTTACTTTACTACATACCTTGAATACTTTTGGTAGTTTCTCTGGATATTGCCATTAATTCTTAGTCTACAATTTAATCTGGATTTATACTAACTTGATTTCAATAGTATACAAAAACTTTATTTCTATATAGTTTCATTCCTCCTTCTTCAATGTCGTTATTAGAAAAAAATTACATCTTCTTATATTATAATCACATCAACATAGATTTATAATTATTCCTTTATGTGGTGTCTTGTCAAACAGGAAAAAAAGAAGTTACAAACAAAAAAATACATCTACACTCTACATATACTTCTGTAGTTACCTTTGCTGGTGCCTTTTAATTTTTTTTTTTTCATCTTGATTCAAGTTACTATCTACTTTCCTTTTATTTCAGCCTAAAGAATGTTCTTTAATATTTCCTGTAGGTCAGATCTGCTGATGATTAATTCTCTCAGTTATTGTTTATCTGGGAATGTCTTACTTTTTCCCTCATTTTTGAAGGGTAGTAATAATATAGAATTATTGATTTATAGGGTATCTCTTTCAATACTTTATTTCATCCTGCTGTCTTCTGATCTCCATTATTTCTAATGAGAAATCATCTATTAATCTTATTAAGAATCCCCTATATATGATGAGTTGCTTCTCTCTTTCTGCTTTCAGTATTCTCTCTTTGGCTTCGGCTTTCCACTATAATGTGTCCAGGTGTGGATATTTTTTAGTCTATCATACTTAAAGTTTGTTGGGCTTCTTAGATTTTGAGATTATTGTTTTTCATCAAACTCAAATATTTTCTGACATTATTTCCTCAAATATTCTGTCTTTTTCTCTTATTCTTGTCTACTATGACTCTCATTACATGTATGTTGGTAAACTTGATGGTATCCTACAGGTCTATGAGGTACTATTCATTTTTCTTTGCTCATGAATTTTCATTCCTATTACTCTAACTGAATATCTTTAATAGTCATATCTTCAAGTTTACTGTCTTTATTATGCTTGCTCAAATCTGATCTGGTGAATTTTTCTACCCTTTGGTGAAGTTTTCCTTTTAGTTATTGTTTTTTGACTCCAGTATTTCTATTTGGTTTCTTTTTAAAATATCAGTCTCTTTATTGATATTATCTATTCTGTTTGAATCATTTCCATTCTTTCTTTTTGTTATTTAGACATGTTTTCCTTTATTTTTTTAACATATTTTAATTGCCTTTTCTACCAAATACAACATCTGTGCTTCCTTGGAGGCAGTGTCTATTGATTGACTTTTTACCTGTTTATGGGATACGCTTTCTTGTTTCTTTGCATGTCTCATATATTTGGTTAAATATTGGAATTTTTAAGCAACACAATGTGGCAACTGTGAAAATCAGTTTCACTTTCTCCTCAGGGCTTGTTGTTGACATTCTTTGTTGTAGTAGTTGTTTTTTGTTTAGTAACTTTTCTGAACTTTTTCTGTTTAGTTGTCTTCTGTCTTCTTTGTCATGGATGGACACTGAAGTTTTTACTTTGTTAGCTTCGTGGTCAGCTAATAATTAGATAGCGATTTCTTTGTTTATTTATTTCTAAATGGAATCTTGCTCTGTCACCAGCCTGGAGTGCAGTGGCATGATCTCGGCTCACTGAAACCTCCAACTTCGGGTTCAAGTCATTTTCCTGCCTCAGCGTCCCAAGTAGCTAGAACTACAGGTGCACGCCACCACGCCCAGCTAATTTTTGTATTTTTAATAGAGACGGGGTTTCACCATGTTGGCCAGGATGATCTTCACATCTTGACTTCGTGATTCACCCACCTTAGCCTCCCAAAAGGCTGAGATTACAGGTGTGAGCCACCGCGCCTGGCTGGATAGAGATTTATTTAACCTGGAACAAATAAATCTCCTAGTCTTTACCAAAAAGCTATATTGCTTTTTGAATCATGTCTTCAATACTAAACCAGGCGGTTTTCAACTGTGCCACAGCCATCACTTCCTGCTTATGCCGAACTTCTAAGCTAGCCAGAGGGAGCAGCTTATCGTTCTCTCATGTCTTTCCTGAGCAGGCACACAGCCCTATGCTTGTGTGTGGCCTTCTAGTTTCCCAGAACTGTGTCAGAACTTTTCAAAATCCCTATGAAAATCTTATTCTTCAACTCTTTTTAAGGCTATTTTGGTTCATTTTTTGTTTCTCTCACCTATTATGCATTGCCTCAGGCAGCTGTGTGACAAATGCTACTCCATCCCTGAGGAGAGGCTCTTAGCACTGAGTGACCAATAAAACAACTCTTTTGAGTCAGGTCTTTCAGGGAACCACCAGACAGGCCAAATAATGGCAATTGTTCAAAAATGAAGTTTGTTGGGCTCACTCCAGCACCTGGAATAAGGTTGGATCTATGTTCAAGATGCCCTCTGAGCTAGAGGGGGTAAGGGGACTAGAATAAGTTAAAACAACTTAAAGCTTGTTGTTCTTACCAAAACTGCAGTATTTTTCTTCCATAAATCCTCACTAAGTTGCTGCAAACCTTTGGCTAATTTGCAAAATTCTGAAAAAAGCTGATTTGTGTCAAATTTTGCATTATTTTACTGATTTTGTTAAAGGGTAAATTTCTGAAAGTTATTATGCCACCATTTTCATTAATGCCACCCATTGCCACCTTCTTTGTGATACTTTCTAAGTTTCTCTCAAGAGAATTAATTACTAAGTCTTAGCTAGAAGTTAGTAAAAATAAAGTATATTTTTCCATACAAGTTGACTAACCCTCTGAACTCTAGCTACAGGTTCCTTCGAGATCTATGAATCGTGGTTTAAAAATTCTCTTCTAGATTGATGTATGAAAGATAAACAAGCAACACAGGACTTACCAGCATCATAACAGCAATGTTGAGACAAGTCCAAGTATGGACCTGACTGGCCTTTACTTACTTCCCAATTCCCCTAGGGCATTAAGCTATTCACCCAAGGGTACAAGATCCCTCGAATGAGTTCCCTTTTCCTTGCAGACTCTTCAAAGCTATTCAAGACCAGTACTGAGGCACCTACAACCATGAGATACCCCTTGAAAGGTGAGTTTTTCTAGGGTTTGAGGGAGTCATAGAGGTCCAAAATGGTGTCATGGTAGCCAAGGAAGGAATCACAATGCCATTGAATGGCTAATAAATAGTCACTTGGTTTCTCAGAGACAACATAGCAGTAAAGGAATGGAAACAAAAGAAAGGTAACAATGCTGAATATATACTCTTCTTTTTGGAAACTTCTGAGGCAAAAGGAAGGAAAGAGTTAGAATACTCCCATCGGAAATACAAGAAAAAAGAACACTGAATTCTATTCTGCTCCTAGTTTGACTTGCTGTGTGACTTTGGGCATATTACCTCCCCTTAATGGTTCTTCTTCTCACTTCCCACCCCTAACGGTAAGAAATGAAGATGCCTCATCTCATGGTACTAGTGGTTGATAACATGGCCAGGCACTCTGGAAGGTCCAGCACAAACGGCTAGAGGAGGACTCCAACATTTGTAATCATCTCCTACCTCTCAGTTTTTTGATAGAAAAGAGATCCCTGACCCTATTCTTTATATTCATAGCAACATCTACAGTGAAGCAACCCTGGGACTGGACCACTGACATGGATGGCTACCTTAGAGAGACCAAGCCTGGGCCAGGTAAGAACACTGTCAGGGTTTCTATCTTTCCTTCTTGACTCTAAGCTTTGTGACTAAAAATTCCCATTATAAACACTGTTCTACAGCACTGAACTCTGCAAATCATTACCTGCTATGTACCAAGCAATGGTCAAGGACCTGAGGATGGGTGAGGTGGGTGGGAGGCAGAGGGAGAGATCGATCCAGGGATGAGCAAACTCAAAATGAGGTTAAGGGCAGTGGTAAATGTGTCCTTTATTTAGTTCTCAGTTGCCATAGTAATATACTTTCCCAATATTCTGGACAAGAATAGGGATAGGGCCATTATAACATCATGACCTCAGCCAGGTAAGGATAATGGCAGAATCTCATTACTTGAGCTCTTAACCAGGGTTCTTCCAGCAGCTCAAAGCTGCTTTGTGATTCCTCCAAGGCCTTAAAGATTCCCAAGTTAGGGTCTCAGAGATTCAAATCCCAAGTAAATCTTTTGTGTTTCACCTACATCTGATAGTCAATTGGTATGCACTGACATGACTACATTGACTGTTGAAATAATAGAACACTCTCACACAAATTGATAATTAGCTGCTCTCCTTAACCCCTGAGCCCTCCATTATCACCTGGGCTGCCTTGGCCCATTACTCAGAACATTCTAGACCACTCCGATGGTCATGCAACAAAAGATAGACTAAGGAATCTCTAAGACTCCAGGTCTACAGCAGGCATGTGTTGGGATTGGTTGAAATTAAATAGTTTGATAACTCTCACTCCTGGTACTCATTCTCT